TCTGGGAAACTCGTTATTTATCCTAACATTTTAATTGAGATCCTTGCTGGATAGAGTAGTCTTGTTTGCAGGCCCTTGCTTTTAATTGCTTGTATTATTTCTTGCCATTCCCTCTGGCTTGTAGTGATTCCATTGACAAGTCAGCTGATAGCCTTATCAGGGCTCCCTTGTATGTTACTTCCTGTTTCACCCTTGCTGCCTTTAAGATTCTCTCTTTGTGTTAGAATTTTGCCATTTTAACTATGATGTGTCTTCGAATGGGCCTCTTTGGGTTCCTCTTGATTGAGACCCTCTGTGCTTCCTGTACTTGTTTGACTTTTTCTCTCATCAAATTAGGGAAGTTTTCCATCATTATTTTTTCAAACAGGTTTTGTATCTCTTGCTGTTCTTCTCTTTCTGATCCCCATTACATGGACATTATTACATTTAATATAGTCCTATAGTTCCCTTAACCCCTCTTTTTTCTTTTTGAGTCTTTTTTCCTTTTCTTGCTTTTTCTGGGAATGTTTTCTATCTTGTACTCCAGCTCACCAGTTGCATCTTCTGCTTCTTCTAGCCTACTTTGGATTCCTTATACTATATTCTTCAATTCAGAAATTGTATTCTTCATTTCTTCTTGTCTCTTGTTGATAATTTCTATTTCCTTTTTCATGTTGATATAATTTATACTAAGTTCCCTGTAGTTCCCCTTTAGTTTTGGTAATTCTCAGTGAACTCATTGAGCTTCCTTATAATTATTGTTTTAAACTCATTATCTGATAGTTGACTTGCCTCTATTTCATCTAGCATTCTTTCTGAGGATTCCTCTTTTCCTTTCATGTGGGTTTCTTTTTCTTTCCTTTGTGTGTGTGTGTGTGTGTGTGTGTGTGTGTGTACGTGTGTGTGTACGTGTAACTCTTCTTGTTAGCCTCTGCTTCTTAAATTGATCTGTTCTGATTCCCTGACTTTTTGGTTTGTACTTGTATGGTAGGAGAACTGTGAAATTCAATTGTGTTGTCTCTGTGGTCTCCTGAACTTGATGCTCTTGGGATTCTGTTTATGTTGGCTCTCTGAATATAACTGGGTTACATTACAGTTTGATTGTTGTTGGGTCATTCTTCAGTGGATCCTTCCCTCCATTTGGTTTACTTAGGGTCACTCTGCCCACCATGTCTTGTATGATGCTGTGCAGGTGCAATCAGATAGTGCTGAAGATGATTTTCTGTCTATCTGAGGTTATATGGCTTCTCTGTTGCTATTGTGCAGTTGTTTGTTCTGGGTGATTTCTCCACAATTTAGTTGTAACTCCAGATTAATCCTAGGAGGTAGTTAATGTGGCATCCATTCACACCTCTCCCATTTTGCCTCTTTCTTTATCGTTGAGTGGACTTAATTCTTACTCTCTTAATTCTAATTCATACTTCGTTGCTTTTTTCACTTCTTACTGCTCCTCTGAAATCATTGTTGCTGAGGTTACCAAAGATCTCCAAATTTTCAAATCCAGTGGATGCTTCTGTATTTTTATGTTGCCTGATAGTTGTGGCCCTCCTTTAAATAGTATTTTTCTCTCTCTCAAACTCTCATTCTGGGATATCACATTGTTGTAAGTATATATATTTTTTAACCTCAGTTTTCTTTTGTATTCATTTTACCAGCCTTCTGCTTATCTTTGGGTATACAATACACTCTTTGGTTGACTTTTTTAGGTAGGCCAAGCCATCTGCTACTTCCTGCAGTGGTGATTCCTTAAACTAGAGATTTATAACTTGCTACCACTTCCTTTCAGTAATAACTATATCATTCTGAATTATACAACAGTCTGTATGAATGTTGGTACAAGTTTTATTTAATTGACCTACTAAGTTCTTCCGTTGGTCCTCCTTGCTTTTCACTATAGGATCTCACTTGGAAACTTAATTCATCTTCATAGTTTTAGTCATCATTTTTAGGCAGAAGATTACCAAAGTTGCATCTTGAATACTACTTTACTTGATTGGCTGCTTTTTCTGTTTGGATGAATTTTTTATAGATCATTGTGTTAAATATAACATTAGACCTGGAAATGCCAAACAAATAAGTTAATAAAAATATTTTTAATCTTCTGAACAGCAACTCTTTGCATCAACATTACTTTATTGACTTTTACAAATTCATATGTTCAACACATTTGAGAGAAGGCTTCAGAGGAGAGTTGAGGATTAATGATATCTTTTTATAGAATAAGTAGAGTTTTACTAGATTAACAAAGTAAAACAGAACACTTTTAAAATAACTTTTAAAAAAGATTTTATTTATTTATTTTCAGAGGGAGGGAGAAAGGGAGATAAACAATGATGTGTGAGAGGAACATCGACTCGTTGCCTGTTGCATGATCCCAGATGGGGACCTGGCCCACAACCAGGCATGTGCCCTGACTAGAATTGAACTGGCAACCTTTTGGTTCATAGGCCAGTGCTCAATCCACTGAGTCACAACAACTAGGGCAAAACAGAACACTTTAGAAGAGACTGTGCATTTAATTTGTCTGGTGCATTATTCAGAGTGGGTATGATGTGGTAAATGACAGAAAGTGACTTTGGAAATTAGGTATTATATTGGACATACTACACCTTAGATGTCAGTCCAAGGAATTTGACTTTTTCCTATTTGTTGTATGGAACCTATATATTAGTGATGGTTCCTAGACTGAAGTAGATGATTAATGAGTGGTTTTCTCTAGTGGGTGGGAGGGTATATGGAACTTTTCTCCTAGAAGAATACTTCAGCTTTGTTTTGGTGCCACTTTATTCCTGTTACCACGATGTTCTCTGTTAGCACATTCCCAAGAGTTCTTGAATGGCAAATATTTGGGAAACACTGAATGAAGTATCTGTAAGGAAAAAAAAGAAACTATGACTACATTGAACTAAATGATCATCAACAGATTTTCTACTTCGGTTAGAGAATAATATTTTAAAACCGAATTTCAGCAATAATTGCCATTAGATGAGCTTCCAGAGGATATCCAATGATATATGCCTTTCTTAGGCGTCCTTTGAAAATGCTTATCTTATTTTTAGTTTTTAAGAAATGGAAAGTATCCCATTGCCTTTGTGAAATGTTCTTAGTAGCTTAGCACACTCGAAGAAGAAAGTGCTTATTAACTGAATTGGTTTCCAGCATTATTCAGAGTCACTCAGATGTTTCCAATTTTGTGTCCAGTTTTGGGCAAGATATGGGTATATATTTTAGACTCATAATAGAGCAGTCTTAATTTTGCTGGACTGGTATATCCAGCATTTAATCTGGGTTGTGGCAAAAGGTATACTGTAATTCCAATTTTTTGAACTCTTGAAGAATTTTTAGAGACTTTTAGCTGCCAGATGAATTAAGTGCAGGCCTCACAACTCTTTATTAGTAGTGGAGAATAGGTACCCATACCACTGATGCTCAACAGTTTTTCTTCTCATTCCTTCCTGTTTTTGTTTTCTTTTCCTCTTCCTTCTTGGACTTTGAGTGCCACCAAGCAGTGTGTACTTGCTTTGGTTTTGTAACAACTGTGGACTATGACTTTGAGCTTCTCTACTTATGAACAGTTAATTGGAAATTTGCTCAGTCCTAAAAGCATTTTACTTATTAATTAAATGAACAGACTTATTCTTATTTATGTCATAACAGATATGTTCTTATTTTTAAGGTGAAAATTCAAGTTGTACAATCATTCAAAATTTGGTAAATGTTTTTTGAAAGGTAGCACTGTAAAATCAATCAAATTAGTCACTATTGCTAATATATTTTGTATGATTATACCATTTAAAATTTTCAGAATGCTTTTTATATATGAGAACTGAGTTGACCTTAAAACACTTAGAAATCTAGGAAGAAAAATACATGTTCTGTTATCTTAAAAATGAACAAATTGAAGTTTTGAAAGAATAATAACTTGCTTGTGGTTTGATGAATTTAATTTCTATGGTATAATTATGACTAAAAGGCCAATTTCATGATACTCTGGTACTCCTTTGTGTGAAAAAAACAAGGTAATTATGTTGCATATCATGTTGTTTCTCAAAGGTCTCATAAACATGATTATGAATAAGATTTTTCTTGATTCACTGACAAGTGTGATACATTTTCTATATACTGATTGTCCTTTGAAATAATCAGAAATGTGTTGGTGTGTACAAACCTTCTAAAAATATGAGTCGCTTGGGATTGCAGACTGGTACAACCACCATGGAAAACAGCATGGAATTTTCTCAGAAAACTAAAAATGGATCTGCCCTTTGACCCTGGGACTATATCCTAAGAACCCTGAAACACCAATCCAAAAGAACCTATGCACCCCAATGTTCATAGCAGCACAATTTACAATAGCCAAGTGTTAGATGCAGCCCTGGTGCCCATTAGTAAATGAATGGATAAAAAAACTATGGTCCATTTACATAATGGAATTCTATGCAGCAGAAAGAAAGAAGGAGCTCCTACCCTTTGTGCCATCATGGATGGAACTGGAAAGCATTATGCTAAGCAAAATAAGCCAGGTGGTGAAAGACAAATACCATATGATCTCACCTTTAACAGGAACCTAGTCAACAAAAGAAATAAACAAACAAGCAAAATATAACCAAAGACACTGAAAATAGAGAACAGGTTGACTGTTGAGAGGGGAGAGGGGAGGGAATTTCAGGGGAAAAGGGGAAGGGTTTACAGGAACAAGTATAAAGGACACATGGACAAAAACTAGGGGCAGGTGGAAGTCGGAGGGAGGTGGGGAGGGCTGGGTGGGTGGGCCGGGATGGGAGTAAAATATAGAAAATTGTACATGAACAATAATTAAAATAAAATTTAAAAGTATGAGTCACAGTTAATTGAAACATATCACATCTAAAAATAGAATCTGCAAATAATTTTAGACATAAAAATAATACAAATTAATTTCTATGGAATAGAAGTTTGCTTGTATTTTAAGTTTTTTCTTAATGGTATTTCACATTTATAAATTATGCCTATATTAATCAAGGTGTCCTTTCTCTAAACAGGGGAATGTACCCATCACCTCCCACCTGTGCAAGCCCCTATTCAAACAAAGAAGAAAACAACAAAGCACTGTTTTCATTGTGGAAAGAAAACTAGACTGGCTACTAGCTACGAATGCAGGCATGTTGGCTAGCTTGAAAAGTTGAGATGCTTTCTTTGTGGTGACCCAACTTGGGGATACAATATAAAATGTTTTCAAAGTTGGTTATTCATAACAGCATTAAGATGATGTTCATATAGCACCCCTCATTTTAACTCCTCCTAAATTGGCTGAAGTGAAAATCAAGTAGATAGCTCATGAATTTCTAAATTCATGAGAACCTCTACCACTCTTTAAATTAGGAGATTTAAACCAATGGGAGAGTACACTTTTTTGTCTTATGATAGATATTCTTGTTTTTGTTTGACGATAGCTTGAAAGAATCCTTTCTCTAAGATTCTATTTTAAATTTAACAAAACAGGACTAAACTTAATGTAGTGTCAATTTTTGGTGCATGTTTATTTCAAAACATGAATAATATATTTATAAAAATGATTTTTCTACCCATAATTATTTTTTTCATTAGCATTGATTAATATGCTACAGGGATGGTGTCTCCTCCTAGATTGAGGCCAGGCATTAAAAATAACTTCTGTCTTTTAGAGTGTATTCTATTCAAATAGAAACAGGTTATCTTGTTACTAAAAAATGTTTTTAAATCCTTCATGGCTTAGTTAGGTTTTATACTTCTCCCAGGTTTAAATAGTAGACATGTTTATCAGCTTTTGCATTTTACTACTTCATAAATGACTATATTTCATTCCACAATATGTTCTTTATTATAAATTCTCATATTCATAGACAATTAATTTGTTCTTTTGGGGATGCTTATGCTTGTTTATGAGTAGAAAAGAAATTCCAGTGTTGAAATTGCTAAAGAGAACCAAAGGACTTTTGTTGGACTACCTCAAGTGAAGCTCTGATTTTCCAAAGAGACACACCTTCAATAAAAATGTGACTATTTATATAAACTTTCTTTGTACTTTAGATGTGGAAACAACTTTTGTGCATCCCATCGCTATGCAGAAACTCATGGCTGCACTTATGATTACAAGAGTGCCGGGAGAAGATACTTACAGGAGGCAAATCCTGTGATTAATGCACCAAAACTCCCCAAAATTTAACTCTTGCTCTGCACCCAACTGTTCTTCCTGAGGAATCATATTACAAGGACAGACAGAAGAAATATTGCTTAGACTGCATTAATTTTGTTCTACTCCAAAAGGTTTGCAAAATAACAAAAGTATACAATGCATCTTGTTGGAGAATGAGAATGCTACTGTATTTGACATCTCTATTCTTTGGTGAATCAAAAGTTTTAAAAATAGTTTTAAAAACTTTAAACTATAATGATTTCACTTTGTTATTGCATACCTTATGTTAAATATTTCACATATTTCATGTTGTGATTTTACCAGGCAAGTCTTCAAAAGATACATTTTACAAAGTTACTATTGACTATGTAACCACCTTCCACATTGTACAGAAATGACCTGTCAAATAATGGCACTAATCAAACTTACCACTTTTCTCTGGGGGTAGTGTGGGTGGGGATTTTTAAAAGAAAAATTTCATGTGTGAAAGTTTATTCAGTTTAATAGCAAGTTCCTCATTATTTCATGCTACCTTTTGTAAAAAAAAAAGAAAAAAGAAAAAAAAAAGAACATTTGGTTTTACCGGTGTGGTTTTAATACATGTAATTCTTCCATATTCATATTGGCATTCAGCTAGGTATCCATTCTATAAAACACATCATCTTAATTATAGTACATATTTTTAAAAATACTACCTTTTAAATGGTATTTTTAAAATGGATGTCCCACTTGTTGCCATTAAATACAGAACCTGACTATTCACACTTTGAAAAACAAAATCTCACACAGCTTGGTTTGTTTTTCTTATATGTTGAGTGCTATTACCAGAAGAAATTCCAATAAATATTAAATTATATTATGAGTTTCATTATTTGATAATTTCAAATAAATTTATGAAGTTTGTTTTTGCTTAATCCCTTCACCTTTATTATCTAGTCCCCCTACCTGCCTACCCTCTGAGAGAGTTCTCTGTATCTATGAGTTTGTTTCTCTTTTGTTAATTTTGTTCATTAGGTACCACATATAAGTGAAATCATATGATACTTATATTTTTCTGATTGGTCTGTTTCACTTAGCATAATATTCTGCAGGTCCATCCATGAAGTTGCAAAGGGTAAGATTTCCTTCTTTTTTCACAGTGAGTAGTATTGCCTTGTGTAAATGTACCACGACTTTTTTTATCCACTCATCCATTGATGAGCACATGGGCTGCTTCCATATCTTGGTGATTGTAAATAATGCTGCAATGAACATAGGGGTGCTTATGTTCTTTTGAAAAAATATATATATGTTTGTTTCTGGTTCCTCTGGATATATTCCTAGAAGTGGGATTGCTGGGTCAAAATCATATCCATTTTTGTATTTTGAGGTATCCATACTGCTTTCTACAGTGGCTGTACCAGTCTGCATTCCCACCAACAGTGTACAAGGGTTCCCCTTTTTCCACATCCTTACCAGCACTTGTTTTTTGATTCATTGTTGATAGCCATTGTGTTTTTTGTTTGCATTTCTCTGATAATTAGTGACACTGAGCACTTTTCCAAATGTCTATTGGCCATCTGTATGAACTCTTTGGAGAAATGTCTATTCTGGTCCTTTGTCCAATTTTTAATTGGATTTTTGGAGGTTTTTTTGGTGGAGATTTTAAAAATTTATTTTATTGATTATGCTATTATAGTTGTCCCATTTTTCTCCCCTTTATTCTTTTCTACCCTGCCCTGCCCCTCCCACAAGCATTCCCCCCAGCTTAGTTCATGTCCATTGGTCATACATATAAGTCCTTTGGCTTCTCCATTGCCCATGCTATTATTTTTTAAAGATTTTATTTTTAGAGAGGGGAAAGGAAGGAGAAAGAGAGGGAGAGAAACATCAATGTGTGGTTGCCTCTCACTGATCCCCTACAGGGGACCTAACCCATAACCCTTGGCATGTGCCCTACTAGGAATTGAACTGGCAAGCTTTTGGTTCACAAGCCCACACTCAATCCTCTGAGCTACACCAGCCAGGGCCCCATTACTGTGTTGGGAACCGCCCTGACTGGTATCAGAGGCTGAAACCCCCGCCTAGCTAAGGCTAAGGGAACGCCCTTGGAACTGTAAGCCAGCAAGGAGACAAAAGCTTATCTTCCTGGCAGGAATGCTGCTTCTGCTGCTTTATTCATAACTGAACCCCAAAAAGCTTGGTCGGTTAGCCAAAGACGGGTAAGATTCCCCACGGGGGGGACGACCTAAGCCAGGCACGATCACTTTTGGGAGGCCCCCCAAAAGAAGGACTTGGGGGGGCTGCAGCAAAAGGGGGGTGATGGACCCTCGCTCCTCGGCTTTGACATAGCCTGAGTTCTCAGCGTCTGGGAAAAAATCTCCTTATCTCTTGGTTACCTTAGTTCCCTTGCTCCACCTAAGCCTGAAACAATGACAGGGTGGTGCAGCTCGGTACTGAGAAGTGCGGATTTCCCGGGGTGATCAGGCCTAAGAAAGAACATGTAAATTACTGTGAAACCTTCTTTGTTTAGAATGCTCTCAGTTGAATGAGAAGGGTCTTAGGAGGAAGTTAGTTTGTTCCTCAGTCTTACAGCTCTTTGACCCCAACTCAATAGACCGGCAGAGTTCTTTGTTTTCTATAGTTCCTTACTTCCCCTAATGAGTACTGTACTTTACCTGAATTATTATGCAGAATGATCCCAATAAAAGCAGGTATGGACGGTAAATCAGCGCGCTCCCCACTAGGGGTGGTGGCCATTTCATCCCTACTTCCCCACAGAAACTAGTCTGTCTCTGTGCATGTGTTGTTTTTTCTCGTGTGTTTATCGTCGAGCCATCCACAGCGTTCCGTGGTCACTGCTGGCCGGTGACCCACGCGCAACATTACTGTTCTTAACCTCCTCTTCTCTATGTTGTACCTACCATTTCTACTTCTTATTCCCTGTACCTTTTCCCCCACTCTCTCCCCTCCATGTGATCTCCATTTCTGTGATTCTGTTCCTGTTCTAGTTGTTTGTTTAGTTTGCTTTTGTTTTTGTTTTTGGTTCAGTTGTTGATAGTTGCAAGTTTGTTGTCATTTTAGGATCATATTTTTTCTTAGATAAGTTCATATTTAGGATCATCTTTTTTCTTAGATAAGTTCCTTTAACGTTTCATATAATAAGGGCTTGGTGACAATGAACTCCTTTAACTTGACCTTATCTGGGAAGCACTTTATCTGCTCTCCTATTCTAAATGATAGAGTAATCTTGGATGTAGGTCCTTGCCTTTCATGACTTTGAACCGTTTTTCCCTATAAAGTTTCTTTTGAGAAATGTGCTGACAGTGTTATTGGAACTCCTTTGTAGGTAACTCTCTTCTGTCCTCTTGCTGCTATTAAGATTCTCTCCTTATCTTTTGTCTTGGGTAATGTAATTATGATGTGTCTTGGTGTGTGCTTCCTTGGGTCCACTTCTTTGGGATTCTCTGAGTTTCCTGGAATTCCTGGAAGTCTATTGCCTTTGCGAGATTAGGGAAGTTCTTCATTATTTTTTCAAATAAGTTTTCAATTTCTTGCTCTTCCTCTTCTCCTCTGGCACTCCTATGATTTGGATGTTGGAACATTTAAAGTTGTCCTGGAGGATCCTAAGCCTCTCCTTATTTTTTTGAAAATAAAAAAAACTTGTTTCTTCATTCTGTTCTGGTTGAATGCTTATTTCTTCCTTCTGGTCTAAATCATTGATTTGAGTCCCAGTTTTCTTTCAGTCACTGTTGGTTCCCTGTTCATTTTCCTTTATTTCATTTTGCATAGCTTCTTCCTCTATTTTGTGACCATACTCAACCATTTCTGTGAACATCCTAATTACCAGTGTTTTGAACTCTGTATCTGACTGTTGGCTCTTCCCCAATTGCTTAGTTCTATTTTTGGAGCTTTGATCTGTTCTTTCTTTTGGGCCATATCTTTTTGTATTGGCCCGTCTGTCATATAGTAAGGGGCAGAGCCTTAGGGACTTGCTCATGGATGGGAGGCAGCATGCTACCCACTTTGCTTCATTTTGATACTCTGCATATGGGAAGGAACAATGACACTTGTTCAGCTCTTGGCTGGCTTTCAGTCACTTCCCCCACTACCCACATGCAAATTGGACCCTTCTGGTGCTGATTCCCAGGTGGGTGAGTTTGTGTACATTTTAGGACTCTGTGGCCCTCTCCAATGAACCCTTCTGTGAGGCTGGGAGTTTCTTTCACTGCTGAAACCCCCACATATTTTTATAGTCAGTGGTTTTGAGGCCTTATTTCCCCATGCTGGAACCCTGGTTTGTGAGGTCTGTCTGGCTCCCCAGTTGTTTTTCCCAGTTTATCTGCACACAAATGTGGGACATCCTGCTCTGTCAGCCACCACCTTGCCTGGTCTGCCAGCTACCACTTTGTTTACTCTTGTCTTTCAGCCACCATCTTGCCATGATTCTCTTCTTTTCTGGCTGCCCATCTCCACCCCTACAGGTCTGGATGAATGTTTCTTTTTTAACTCCTTGATTGTCAGACTTTGATACAGTTTGATTTCCTGGCAGTTCTGGTTATTTTTTGTTTTTAATAAATTTTTTTGTCCTTTTTTTGGTTGTGTGAGGAGGCAAAGTATATCTAACTATGCCTCCATCTTGGCTGAAAGTCTTGAGTTTCACAAGTTCTTTATAAATTTTGAATATTAACTCCTTACCAGATTTGTCATTGGCAAATATGTTTTCCTGTTCAGTATGTTCTCTTTTCATTTTGTTGATGATTTCTTTTGCTATGCAAAAATTTTAGTTTTATGTAGTCTCATTTGTTTACTTCTTCTTATGTTTCACTTTCCTGAAGAGATAAGAAAAAAAATATTGCTATGAGAAATGTCTGATATTTTCTGCCTATGATTTCTTCTAGGATTTTAAAAAATATTTTTAATTTATTTGTTTTTTAGAGAGGGGAGAAGGGAGGGAGAAAATGGGAGAGAAGCATTAATGTGTAGTTGCCTGTCATGCACCCCCTACTAGGGACCTAGCCCATAATCCATGCATGTGTCCTGACTGGGAATTGAACTGGTGACCCTTTGGTTGCAGGCTGGCACTCAATCCACTGAGTCACACCGGCCAGGGTTGTTCTTGGATTTTTATGGTTTTGAATCTAATATTTAAATCTTTTATCCATCTTGAGTTTATTTTTCATTTTGCATAGAATTATTTTTATGTGTTTAAATGAAGAAACAGGCTCAGATTTTCTAGCTATTTAGTGGTTAAGCTAAACGTTCAATCCCTGATATTCTTTTCTTCCCTGTTCTTGTCTTAGATTCTGCATTCTATTGTCTCCTTAATATTTCCTTCCTTACTGTCATTAGTTATTTTACTGTAAAATATGACATCTTCATACTTTTTAACCAAGACTTATGCTTTTTAGTTTTTATGGTTTCTTTATTATATTTTTCCCATTACCATTTACTCTCCTTATACTCTCCTCCCTCTGACAGTCACTATTCTGTTGAGCTATCCCTGTTATGAGTCCTTTTACCTTTTGGCTCAATCCTTCCACCCCCTAAACATTCCCCATACGAGCTGTCATCCTGTTCTCCATCTATTAGTCTGACCCCATTTTACTTGTTACTTC